AGTCCGGGAACTTTCCGGACAAACTGTGTATACGTTTTTTAAGCAATAATTGACTGAGCATGCGCTACCAAAAAATAATTCCGACCAGTACAATTACCATGCCTAAGGAAACTACGATCGGAAAAAGTTAAGTTTCGATTACTTGTACATTCCATACGAATAATTGACTTAATAAGCAGACATACATTCAAAACATTTCTCATATTCTCTTTCAAAGGTTAATCGCGTGTTAAGCGTTTTCCCACCGACTAATCACATGTGTGAAAAGCCGGTGATAAACAAACAACAGTGAGGAAAAATTACGGGCATAACTGAGTGATGGGAACTGCGGTCACGTGCGGTACTTTGTTTATGAGATTCGGAAGAATGAATGCACTTGAGGCTCGCGTATTATTACTAATGAAATATCTCGATAATTGTGGCACAATTATCACTGAAAGTAAAACAATTATAAATGCGAGATACTAAATAATACGTACAAATACTGAAACTTTCCATTTAACTTCGCATGATCGATTCGCGAACGTCGAACATTTTCCAATATTTGACATAATTTCTTATATGACATAAACGTGTATTATAATAGATTGTAAATGCTCGTGATAATTAAATTCGGAAGGTTAAAGCCTATGCGATCCCATACACAGGATGTTCTTGTATGTAAAACCTGAGTTTATTAATTAATTAACAGACGGTCTTTATTATTTAGAACTTTCTTCAATGTGTAATAACAAATATAATAACAATTGCAAGTTAACCAACACATACATATAGTATAGGTCTAACAAATTGAGATTAATATGTATTATATTAGTAAAACACACACAGTATCCATTGTTATCACTAAAAATCTGATCTCGATGATACATGATATGTTAATAGTGAAAAAATGTTTGAAGTTTTTACTTTTAAAATTTTTATTCTGCTTGAATGTCTAAACCAACGGTTATGTTCGTAATAAAACCAGAAATTAAGTGATGTTATTTAACTGTCATGTATATTTTCACAGTGAATTAGTCACATCTAAATAATTTTCATACAAAACAAATTTATTAATAAATTATCTCACTTGTTCTTCCAAATTCTACAAAGCATCGTTGTAAAAGCAAATTGTAAAAAAAACTATGAAAACAAAACATTACGACTTTTGATAAAAGTACAAAAGAAATACATAATCTACTGGCAAGACAATCCTTGTGACATCTTTGTAAAAAAATATATATGCAGAAAGGGCCGATACGGAGTGAAATACTAGGTGTTGATGTATGAACAAGAATCTTTATTTAAACATGCCAAACGTTTCGACTCTTGATTTGAGTCATCTTCAGTGGCATACAAAAATCTACATAAATAAATTAATATAAAAATTACAAAAATCAAAGAAACAGTACAGAAAAGATACCAAGCAATAATTACAACTCACCATTAAGAAAAATATAGGCAGTACATCACCTTGCAATAAGGAAGAGATCAAATAATTAGTTGATATTCATCAAAGTGTTTCGAAAAACCAAAAATGTCCTCTTTCCATGTCTCAAGTTAGATAGTACACAAGAAACATAAACTACACAACTGATGTACAGCCTCTCTTTACAAAGTTCGGATATATAAGTACTTGTTCCCCACCACAATAACAATAATAAAGTCTTTAAAGGTGAACCATCACTTCGATTTGTATATTTCCAGAAACGAGAAATAAGGTTTTAATTGTTCAGTATCTGACATAATATTAANATCACTTCGATTTGTATATTTCCAGAAACGAGAAATAAGGTTTTAATTGTTCAGTATCTGACATAATATTAATCGCATTATTTTGTAGCTTAATTTGAATCATTTCAGAAATTAATCGTTTATTATAATGGTTTTCACGATCCATCTTTGTAAAATCCACTGTATCCTGATATAATTGAAGAATTATCTATTTTACTTACTACGAGCAGATCCAAACGTTGTTCTGTCGCAAAAAACGGAAACAACGGCTCTGCATTATTGTCCTTGTGTGCTTTCAATTCTCTCTCTCTTTCTTTTCTTCTCTCTCTCTCTCTCTCTCTCTCTCTCTCTCTCTCTATTTCGAACTATGAGATGATGCTTTGCTTTGAATGGTATTAGACAGTCACAGAGTTACCCATGTGTTTTGTGTATCCTGCGTTTTTTTTCCTCTTGCACCAATTCTCTCTCTCTCTCTCGTTTCACCTCTTTTCCTCCCAGATTTAATCTCAACGATTCACACTACACTCGCGGGGCACAACACACGGTGCCCATGACGACGCGTCTTCTCTCAGCGAGTGATTTAGCGACTCTATGATATTCATCCGACATTTGACCACACAGATAACGAGAAACAATTCCCTCACCAGCAAAGCAACGCGCGCGCGATGTGACTCAAGAACATATTCCGGAAAGAATCATGCGGAGTGATTTTGCTTCGATTTGGCGCCAAATGCGCATGCACATTTACACGATCTACGTATAATGACGTTCGGCGCGCGACTGTCAGCAATGTCAGCGGCCAGCACGGACATGGAGGCGTAGGTCTTTGGAAGAAGCCTTTGAACATGCCGCGCGCATGCGCTATCGCGATAAAAGGCAAAACCGTGAGTCGCATTCTCGCGTTCGCGACTTTAGAATTATTTATATAGGAATACGTAAAAGCTTCAATAATATTCAAGTAATTAAGTTTTTAGGTATAAAAATTAAAAAGAATTACATAAAATTAATGAAAGTTATATAAAAATTGTACATTGTTAAACTTTGTACGTCGATCAAACTTTATTATCTTCACTTTTTATTGTCATATCAAAAGCAAGTGTGTTGCCGACGAACAACTCAACTCTTTTCTAACGCTAACTTTCTACGAACAAAAACGAGAACTATCATAATCGGTTTTGTACAGTTTCAGTGAGCATGAAAAATGTAACTTGACCGATTACAGTTTTAGCGCGCAAATTTATCGTTTTACGTGGTTCACACAGTTATTGTAATCGCAGTTGCTACGATACCATTCAAACAAGGATTTTGCTAATATTTTTGTTTTTGAACAAAATTCGAAAAAAAAACAAATCGCAGATCAGATTTGCATTTACTAATTTGTGGCAAAAGTAAAAACGTAGTTACAAGTTAGACTGGTTGTTGAAGGTAAATTAATGCGTAGTAATAATCGCAAGTAGTTTGAGTCTTCGCATAGATAAATTTGATCTTTAGATCGTGCGAGCAAATCGTGAAGCAAATAATTTGACGAAAAAAAGTACACTTGACAGACATTGACGAGTGAATTGTCAGTTTATTATGCAGCACATCGTTACTTGATCTATGCACAAAAAGAGACAAAATCGATAACTCACATGCGTTGCAATGTTAACACTCTGCAGATATGCATTTAGAAGATTCCGCAAATCAGTCATAGAGCGAAATAATATAAATGATGTATGTACACAGTTTGTCCGGAAAGTTCCCGGACT